GGAGGACTAAGAATATGTGTATTACCTTGCTCTTCTCACTTTTAAAGTGCTGTGCTGTAATATTGGAAAGCACCATTATTTTACTGTTAGGAATCAAATCCTTTTCCAAATACCTTACAATATCCTCTAGACAATTTAATATTTATTCGTCTAACTTTAATAATAAACATTGCCTCCCCCACTGTTGCTTTCTTCTTTCAGATTGGCTGCTATGCATCTATGAAAAAGAAAATCTATGCCATGGGTGGAGGATCATATGGAAAACTGTTTGAATCTGTGGAATGTTATGACCCAAGGACCCAGCAATGGACTGCTATATGTCCGTTAAAAGAGAGAAGGTGAAGGAACTTGCATATGGACTTTATAGATCCTCCTGAACCTGGCTCCTCCTTTCTTTCAGTTGAACCTTTTATTTGACTTGGCATTTGGTTTATACACAATTAAATGAATAATCAATTTTCTGAAAAAGGAACACCTACATATTCACCAAACATTGAATGTTGCAGAGTTAAAACAAGCATAAGAGGAATTAGGGAATCGAGTCATGAGTTGTAAATCTAACAGCTAATATGCTCTGTGTGGCATTTCAGATTTGGAGCGGTAGCCTGCGGAGTTGCCATGGAACTGTATGTATTTGGGGGAGTCAGAAGTCGCGAGGACATCCAGGGTAGTGAGATGGTAACTTGCAAGTCTGAATTCTACCATGATGAGTTTAAAAGGTAATTAATTATAAATGGTTGCACATAGCTTCTGCAACTTTTTTTTTTCTTTCAAAGTTATGTTTTAGCTTTGTCTAGTTTTGTTTTCAAGTTACTTCATTTAATGTATCTATTTAGGAGATATGTCTAATACATACTGTATTATTGATTCAGTGACTTCAGAAGTATTGGTAACTTAGAGGAAAACCATAGAGAAGTGTTTCTAAAATGTAGATCAAACCTTGACACTTAGTTGCTTAAAATCATTCATTGCTTCCCTATAGCTTTTAGGAAAAAGTTTAAACTCCTTAACTTACCATATATGGCCTTTCATGATATGGCCTTTGTTACTCATTCGGCTACTATTCGACCCAGATGCTTCACTTGAGTCACACTGAGCGGTATTTTTCCCCCAAACGTGTCTTGATTATCTCAGCTCTGTACTTTTGTACTATTCCTTTTGCTTAAAATTTCCCTTCCCTTATTTATCCAGTTAATTTGGCCTCTTCTAAAACTCCCGAGAGGTCTGATTTAGGTCCTCAGTCTGATGCCCTCACACTACATGCCTCGCTCTTGGACTGTAATTGTTAACCATAAGCTCCATTAGGGCAAAGTCCAACTCAGCCAACTTTGGGCCCTAGCTTCAGCACTGTAACTGGCCTGTGCTAGACACTCAGTAAAATGCTGATGAAATGGGTGAAGTGTGGTGTCAGAGACTCCTAAAACCTCTGGCAGTCTGCCGTAGAGGTTTTGTAGAGTAGGTAACATTCTTGCCAGCCTCCCCTCTTCCCCTCTCTCACACGTTTATTGTAGGAAACACTAAACAGTATTCTTAGTGCAGAAATATGTTCAAATCCTACAGGGAAACTGCCATGCTGAAATTCATTTTGTGCTGGTGTTTCAATCATGTTACCAGAAGGGGGTGCCATAATATAATGTTTAATTTTGTATTATTTTAGATTAGGGCAAATAATGAGCAGTTATCAAGATTTTTGAAAGATGTATAAATGTAACCTAACTTTTAATGTATTTTAAATTTAGAATCTTTGTATAGCCTTTTTCCCCCCCTTCAATTACAGGGGTAGACTATCTTAGAAAAATTTATTAGACAAAGTGTGAGAACGATTTAGAGTATGTTTGCTATAGTGCGGTTGAGGGCAGAATTTCAAAGACTTTTCTACATTTCTCTTTCTTAATATATTACGATGAGGACTGACTGTCCAAAGTACGAAGTTTCCTGCCCAAATGAATCTTGAGACAGTTTGCCCAACTTCAGTAACAAGCAGTGGTCAGTGTATTTGGTTTCTGATGAAATATTGATACATAGAAGCCTTTTTCATAATGGCTGTATTACTGTTTAGACAATACAAGCTAGAAAGCTATAATTCACTTACTGGAATAATCAAGGTTGCTTATGATTTTACCATTTTCTGTCCCTATTTTGATTGTATAAGACTTAAATCTGTCTGTAAAGTTTCTCAGTCTACCCTTGATATGCTACAAATTTTAAAACCTTTATATTTCTATCAGGTTGTTTCATATTTATAGTTGATAAGCTTTAAATATAAGTGTATTACTTGCTTCCAGTTTATAACTGTTAACATGAATATTGCTCCCTCCTTACTATTTAAAATAAAATTCATGTATTTTTAGTTTTCTTATTTCTAAACTCTCTGATGTTTGTAAATAGAATTAAGAGAGCTTAATTTCTCTTGTCAACACAGGTTTGAACTGTGCACGTCCACTTAATACGTGGGTTATTATTCCTAATAAATGCGTTCAGTACTGTAAATGTATTTCCTCTTCCTTATGATTTTCTTAATAACGTTTTCTTTTTTCTAGCTTACTTTATTGTTAGAGTCCAATATGTAATACAAAATATAACATACAAAATATGTGTTAATCAGCTGTTTATGTTATCAGTAAGGCTTCTGGTCAACAGTAAGCTATTAATAAGTTTTGAGGGAGTCAAAAATGATACGTGGATTTCTTACTGTGTAGAGGGGTTGGTGCCTCTAACCCCTCAGGTTGTTTAAGGGTCTACAGTATAGAATTCTTACTTGCTTAGATAACACTAAACACATTTGTAACACCAGCTGTCATATATTAACACACTTAACTTATTTAATCTTCACAACAACCCTCTGAGATACAGGTACTCTTCTTATTCCTGTTTTACTTATGAGGAAACCAAAACACAGAGGTTAAGTCATGTGTCCGAAGACATACAGGGTAGCAAGTGGCAGAGCTTGAATTTGAACTTGGGTATTCTGGCCCCAGAGACGACTTCTTCAGCTGTCATACTCTATTGCCTTAAAAATATAGGCTTTCCCATAAATATCTATAGAAAGAAAATAACATATTTTTATTTCTTAAAAGGTCAGATGTTTCCAAGTATGTTATATTTGCATTCTCTGGAAACTGTTGCCAGATGAGCAATCTGTATTAGATTGGAAACCATTTATTGTTGTTAAGTAATCTCTTGTCTTTCCTGCCTTTGTTCCCTATTTTTAGGTTAAAACTTTCCTGGAAAAATGCCATATTTTATTATTTTCTGTGTTTCTCACTAAAAACAAACTGAAGGAAAGCAAAGAAATTGCCATAAGTGATACCAAGTCGTAGGAACAACTTACTCTCTCTGGAATGACACTGTCTCCATTGCTGTTCCTCATGCCCCTTTTACGAGTGCTACCATCCTCCCACTCGTCCATACTCCAAGAAGGTCATCTTTAATTCTTTCTTGTCCTTCACAGCTCATCAGTTGTCAAGTCTTATCTTCTTTTTCTAACTGTAATATTTTTCACATTTACCCACCTTTATTTCTCTGCTCCTACCCCAGTGCATTCACTCCTTCTTATGTGCAGTGTCACTAGCCTTCTAACTAGTCTTCTCTAATACATTTCACCTACTTGTGCTTTTGAAAGGTGGATGGGACTTTGATCATTTCATCCCCCTGCTGAAACTCTTCACATTTTCCCCTTACTTGCGGAATAAAGCTAATGGTATTTAGCAAAGGGACAGGCCTTGCAGTCCTCCAGCGTCCTCTATGGACAAAGCCTGCTACTGCCTTTATCTTCCCGAGGAACCAGCTGTTGATGTTCATTTTCTCCACTGCGTGTTTTTTCCATTTCGTTCGCTTCTGTTCTTGCCTATGTTATTTGTTTTCTTTTACTTACGGTTTATTTTGTTCTCCCTTTCCTTGCATCTTCAGGTAAAATTTTGAATTTCTTTTTTAATTTCTCTGCTGAAGTCTCCTATCTTTTCATCATAAGCATATTATCCTATCCCTTACTGTTATGGTAGTTGTGTTTGAGTCCCCGCCTAATAATCCCAGCTTCTGAGTCATCTTAGAATTGGCATCTGTTGATTGTTTATTCTCCTGAGAATGTGTTCTCATTTTCCTGGCTCTTCTTTTGTTGAGTAATCCTAGATTGCATCCTGGGCATTGTGAACTGAGTTCTCTTGTATTGCTTCAGTGTTGCTCCGAGAGTTTTAGCAGGCAGTAGACATGGTGAAACTCAGATTGCAAGCTGTCTGTCACACCTGCAGCGGGCGGCAGCTCACGTCTCAGTTCAGCTCTTCAAGCCTTAGTTATAAGCATTCCTGGTTCCGGGGTCAAAGACTTGAGATAAGTGGATACACATACATTTAGGGGTTCTTCTCTACCGCTCGTCTTTCTGAGACCCACACACACATACACACACACACTTCGGTGATCCTGGCTACTCCAAGATGCTCTGTTTTCCTGATTCCAGTGGCCCGAAAGATGGCAGGGTTTTCTCTCAGGCTTTCAGCTCCCAGGAGCCTCCACCCTCAACCTGTCCTTGGATAAAGCTATCAAAGAACGGAAAACATTCCGTGTGGGATGCTTGTTCAACTTTCCCCATGTCGGCCTGTTTTTGCTCAGACTCCAGAGCCCTCAGGCACTTGTTTGTTTTATTTTCTCCAGAGTGTGTAGCTGCTCCTCACAGGAGGGTCAGCTTGTTAAGAGCTCCGTCCTCCCTAAAAGCAGAAACGTCCCTGAAGCTCCCTCTTTCCTTCTCGCTCCTGAGTTGATCGTCCTTCCCTCCCTCCCTCCATCTCACCTTCTCTCCTTGCCTGCCTTTCCCCTCCTGCCCTGCTTTTCCTGAAGCTCACTGCTATGTCCCTGCTACATTTTAAAGTGCTGTTCTCAGGGGGCATTCTTAATTCTGAGTTACCAAAGGATGTATCGTTGTAGCCTCAAAGTCCTGATAAGCCCATGTTTGAGAACCTTGTGACTAAAGGCATAATAATACTTTGTCCATTACAAAAGTCACTACCACTTAATGATGCCTGCCGTGTACTGGACACTATGCAACATGCTTTATGTCGGCGAGTTCATTTTATCCTCACTATACTCATTTGAGGGCGGTGATGGTGTCTGGTATCCCCACTTTACAGATAACGAAACAGACTGGGTTAGCTAAATTGTCCAAGGTCAATGAGGTGATAAATAATAGAGAAAGAAATGCAAAACCACATGCCTTTTGTAACTGTTTTATAAGCAGCAGCTACATACATGATCCAATTAAGTTATTTCATGTTAGTTTTCATTTGAAGCCTCGGCACTGTATAAAATCACCTAGGATGATTTTGCTGAAACCTAGGAACTCTGACTCATTGATCTGCTTTGGACCAGATTTGGTAGCCCATCCACATAGTTTCTTCAGCTTTATTTAATTAGTCCAGGGAGGGATTATGTTACATTCTCAACTCTACAAAAGTATTCCGAAATATCATTGTTTTCTGTTGTGCATTTTCAGTAGATAATCTAGTCAGAAATCTAGTCAGTCCTGATTTAGAAGCACCAGTTAACACTGGTGATCATACACATGGCCCTGTTAATGGGCTTCTCAGAAGAGTTGTGTGTGTCTCCATTGGGGGTGGTCTCACGGGTACATTTCAGCTGCAGGCCAAGGCATAAGGATTCTCATGAGCTTGTTTGATTCAGAGCCTGGGAAGAATTTAGATGACAGGGTTTAGTTATTGACATTTAGCCCTGAAGATATAAAACGTGAATAAGTCAGTTATTGTAGTTTGACATTTTCACACTTTTCTTTCAAAGGCCTATACAGGACCTCGTTTTCACATTTCCATAAAAGCTCTTGGATTTTTCGCTTTTCTTATTAATTAAAGGCGTTTTGGAGGCAGGTACCAACCTGTATTCCCAGTCCCAGCAAACTGCTGGATACCAGTCAACATTAGGATGTTAGATGAATCCATGTTAGATGAAGGTATTTAGAAATATGGCAGCTTATATTAGCTTTACTGCTGAGTTGTTATAGGAACTTGGACAAATTATTTTGCTTCCATGTTTCTTAGAATTCAAACTATGGAAGTTACTACTTTATAACAATCTGGGAAGAGTGTTCATTGAAATAAAAGTGCTGTTGTTAGTGAAATAATTTTACATTGTGTTTAGCATCGAGATGCTCTAGACGTATGCCAGTGGCTTAGGACACGTCGTAGCATAGAGTTAGAGATACCAGGAGCAATGCCCATACACCTGTATATTCCAGTAATGAGTGTCGGCCTGGACTTTGGGAGTTCTCAAGGGTTTAGATACACTCCTGAGGTCTGACTGAGGTCTACTATGACCTGGTTGTGCCTTTAGCTATTAAAGGGAAATTGGTCAAATTACCTCGAGTGAACATTATTACACAGCGGAGTCTAGTTTGTCTGTTTGTTTGTTTTTAAGCAAAAAAAAAAAAAAACCCAAAAAACACCCAACTTTTATTTTGGAATGATTTTAGACTTGTAGAAAAGCTGCAAAAGTAGAGTTCCCATAGCCGTTCCCCAGCTTCCTCTCATGTTAACATCTTACATAACCACAGTAGGGACATCAAAACCAGATTATTTATGTTGGTACAATAGTATTAAGTAAACTACAGACTTTATTTGAATTTCACCAGCTTGTCTACCAGTACCTTTTTCCTTGTGCTCCGGGATCCAATTCAGGATCCGACATTGCACTCGGTTGTTGTAATTTGTTTAGTCTCCTTTCATCTGTGACGGTTCCTCAGTCTTTCATGATACTCTTGAAGATGAATTGTCAGTTTTTTATAGGATGTCTCTTAATTCAGGTTTGTCTGATTTTTCATTAGTAGGATGTGGTTGGGCATTTGGGGCAAGAATACCACAGAGGTGATGCTGTACCCTTCTCTGCACGTCAGGGAGGACATGATGTCCGTATATCTTATTGCTGGTGATGCTGACCTTGACTACCTGGTTAAAGTGGTGTCTGTTGGGTTTCTCCTCTGTAAAGTTACTATTTTTCCCTTTGTAATTAATAACTATCCTGGAAGAAAGAATTTGAGAATATGCATACATACTGTTTCTCCTCAAACTTTCACCACTAATTAAGCACCCATCGGTGGACCAGCCTCTAGGAGCTATTACTATGGTTGGCCTAATGGTGATTTTTCTATTTCCCCCATTCCTTCTACATTTGTTAACTGGAATTCTGAAAAGAAGACCTGTCGCTTCTCCCTGTTAATTTTAAATGTATGTAATTATTTATATACAGTTCCATGGATATTTATTTTAGTCTATGAGTTATACATCTAATACTATCATTATTTTGTTGCTCAGTTTGTTCCAGCTTTGGCCATAGGGAGCTACTTCGTATTGGCTCCTTTGTCCTTTTGACACGCCCATCCTTTTTCAAGCACTTTCTATCTGGCAGTACAAGATGCTCCAGGCTCATCTTGTATTTTCTGTCTCAGCTGTGGAATCAACCACTCCTTCATGGAGCGTTGGACCCTTTTAGTGGTTATTACACTGGTTTTCAACACAAGTGGCAAGGCAATTTAGTGGGGAAAAAAGCGTCTTTTCAGCAAATGGTGCTGAAACAACTAGATATATGGAAAAAAAAGAACTTTGACTCTTACCTCCCACCATACACAAAAATTAACTTGAAATGTATCATGAGACGTAAATGTAAAAGCTGAAACCATGACATTTTCAGAAAAGAGCATAGAAGGAAAATCTTTGCAACCTTGGAATAGGTAAAGATTTCCTAGAAAAATGCAGAAAGCATGAACTGTAAAAGGAAAAAAAGGATAAATTGGAATTCATCAAAAGGAAAAATTTCTGTCCTTTAAAAGGCCCCCTTTTAAAAATGAAAAGACAATCTACATGCTGAGAAAAATATTCATGATACATGTATCTAACAAAGGACTTATCCACAAATATAAAGAATCTTACAATTCAATAAGGAAAGGGAAAACCCAATTTTAAAAATGAGCAAATCTTTGAACAGACATTTCACAAAAGAAGATATATAAAATGGCCAATAAGCACATGCAGAGATGTTCAACATCATTAGTCTTCAGACCACTAACATGGATAAAAGAGAAAAAAGCCTGACAGTACCAAGAGCTGGCTCTGATGCCAAGCAGTTGGAATTCGCATACATTGCTAAACGGAATGCAAAACGGCACAGTACTTTGGAATACAGTGAGGCATTTTCTTGTCAAGTGAACTATACCTTTAATCATATAACCAAGCAAGTTTATAACATAAGTTTACAAAAAAGATTTGTACTCCAGTGTCCGAAACAGCTTTATTACAATAGCCAAAACTGGATGCTGCCCAAATGAGCATGAGCGGGTGAATGGATAAATAAACCATGGTGTATCCATATAATGGAATACTACTAAGAAATAAAAAGAAACAAATTATTGATGCAGGTGGCAACATGGATGAATCTCAGAAACATTGTGCTGAGCAAAAGGAACAGGTTGAAAAGTGCATACTCTTTATGATTCAATATATATATATGACATTCTAGAACAGGCAAAACTAATACCTATGGTGACAGTAATCAGTGGTGACCCAGAAGTAGAGTGTGGGTTTGGGATTTACTGGCTTGGTGCCTAGTTCTGTTGGAGGCTCACCAAGTTTTGGTCTGTTTGTTTTCAGATGGATCTATCTAAATGACCAGAATTTATGCATCCCCGCCAGTTCCTCTTTTGTTTATGGAGCTGTACCCATAGGAGCCAGTATTTATGTTATCGGAGATCTTGATACAGGTAAGAATGTTACAGTGATTTTTGCCGGAACTGTTTCCTAGTGGCTCCGAGGCATGTTGTCTCACCGTTGCTTATTCTCATGGTTTAGGTACCAATTACGATTACGTGCGTGAGTTTAAAAGAAGTACAGGCACCTGGCACCACACTAAACCACTCCTTCCATCCGACCTTCGCCGCACTGGGTGTGCAGCCTTACGTATTGCAAATTGCAAGCTCTTCCGCCTGCAGCTTCAGCAAGGCTTATTCCGTATCCGTGTTCATTCACCTTGAAGAGGAAGCAGAGCGGAAGCAGAGCTCCTGACCAAGTGCACCATGACATGGCTTTACGTGAGGGGAACAGAGATGGCAGCAAAACTTGCTCTGCGTGCGGCCTTCGTATGGTAACTCTAGTGGTTTTCTAACGCTGAGAAGCTTGAGTTCGGCTCTTGTTTGGGAGAGCACATCACTGTTGAAAAACTACCTGGGAGGACTCAGTCCTCCAGTTAGAGGTGTCTATAGACAAATGGAGGCTAGTAAATGTCAAAAGGAAGAGGGAAGTGGGAATCGGTATAGTGTAAAATACTGAAGTTAAAATACTAAGGTGCATTTTCCCTGAAGGGAACTCGTATCTGACTGCTGTGTACCTGGCTTTGGTAAACAAACAAAAATCCGTATATGCAAATCAACATATCCAAACATACCAAGACTGCTTTTCTACTGCACTTGGGAGGACATATGCCTAACCCTGCCCAACAAATCAAGGTTTGTGCCTAAAATGTTAGATTGGACTGTGTGCCAGCTAGTCTCCATTTACTCCTAGTACTCTGTGCTGAGAATCTTTTTTAAACTGTATTATGATGAAACTAAGATAAAATTTCTCTTCGATGACATTCTATCTTAGTAAAGGCTCAGTAAATGAATAAGTCAGGTTGCAGCCCTCGTGTGACTTTAAAGGAAGTTGCTAACTTCTGTGTTAATTTAGATTAAGGTACGTCATGCCGTAGTTTCTTGGAGTTGTGAAGGATCCCATGCAGTGCCGCTCTTCCTTTCCAGTTAATCAGAACCATTTTGTAAATACGAGGATATTAGCGAGTAGGAGATTTTATAAAAGAAAGACCTGAGTAAGACATAATGAAGATCTGCAGTGACTTAAAAAAAAAAAAAAAAAAAGTCCAGATAAAATACAAAGGGATCAAAAACTTTTTTAAATAATCTGAAAGCACACAAAGTCTTGTTTACTACTGTTTAGGATTTGAAAACTTATCTTAGAATGCAAACGTGTTAAGAATCTAGTCTTTGTAGTAGAATTTTCTCAATGCCATTCACTAGTAAGAGTTTAGACAAATTACGTTACAAGTAAAGTTTGGCTGGTAGAATAAACTACCTCAGCTTAATTTTATTCTGTTCATAGTACAGCAAATTAATCTTTTCCTTCTTTCCTATCTCTCATTCCCATGCTAACCCACTCTATCCCATTTCCCATTGGGGGAAAAACATCTGTCATTAGCATTTATCTTGTAAGATATTTTGTTTTTCATTCAAATTATACTACCTTAGGGTAAAATTAGGGACTTCAAAGTGCTTGATTACTTTATAATTTGAATTTTATGCAATATCAGATTTCTAATCAATTTAATATAGAAGTCCTCATTTTTAATTGTTTTCTACAGCTTTTTTTTTTCCTCTTAAAATATGGCTCTAAGAAGCAACATTTTGTCTTAATGATTAATGTATAAATGTATCCTTTGGTTGTAAATTTGAGACCAGAAATTTCTTCTAGCAACTTCCTATATGGAATGTTTGTATGCTATTAACATGCATATGAAATGTTGCTTATGTTTTCCCACCACAAACAAAAAACGGGGTGAGCGGTGTTTTTTTTTTTTTTCTTTTTTACACCCATTAGAAGTCAATACAATGCTATAAAAATTGCAGAAAGGAGCCTTGCCGGTGGGGGTTCTAAAGAATGTTATGTGTGGCACATTCACCCTCCATTCTAGCAGAAGATTTTGGTAACAGAGGTATGAGGTTTTATCTTCTCTATCAGAGGCACAGGCCAGACTTGCCACACATGTATGTAACACAATCATATTCGATCTGTAAATCAAGGCTGGCTTTATTTTTTTTTTTTCGTATCTTGTACCAGTCAGCTGTTATCTGCACACTTTCCCAGTGATACCTTGGCTGACTTTTAATCAAAGCAAGCTACGTGGCTATTGCAAAGAAGGAAAACTCTTTTTACAATTAGACATGAGAAAACAAATTGCTGAAAAAGTGAATTTTCTTTGGTAAAATGTCTTGTGCAGAACACCACCTTGGTGTTCAGAAGCTGCAGTTGAGGTACTGATGTCTTATTAAAGCCATGACAATCAGCGATTCTTCTTTTTTTTTCATTTCTGAAGTTTAAAATGCTTCCCAGTCTATGCCAGGCCTTTCCAAGGAGACAATTCATTGTTTAGGAGTGAATGGGTCCCTACTACAATATTATCAGTGCCTGTATGACTTGATCAATTCATTTTAGAAAGTAGTGTTTTGTTTCTTTTTTTAATTAAGTTTATTGACACTGTAGCTGCAGAAATTAGGGAATTTTTTTAAAAATTTGCCACATAATATGGGATGCAATAACCAACAAAAGCTGCTAAGTGCCAAACAGTTATTTTACTATATATAAATATAAAAATATTATGTTGAAGTGTAGGGATGTATTTAATTTTATTATGTTCTAAAATTAATCATGACCTTTTTTGTAAATCGCAATTATTTCAGTATTGTAAAATAAATTTTAACTCATTTCATGCAGGTTTGTGTTTTAACATTCCACTTATGCCTTGAAACATCTTTTCTTGGTAAATTTTTGATACTTCTTTTTCCATAAGGCACTTTTACCAGGTGTATGTTGGAATTGGCGGCTGAGGATAGATCTTAAAATTTTTAATATAATACCTTTTGGGGAAGTGCAATTTATTTTCATTATCCCATCAACAGAAGGAAAGTTGTCTCAGGTTAGAGTAAGTGAATATTTAAAGGATCTCTCCTATGCTACAGTTTTAAAGTAGGTTTGTTTGTTTGTTTCTCTGTTTGACACATCCAAATGTAGATTTTTCAAAGATTTAAGTGTTTAAAATGAAGTTTTTTGTTCTTTCATGATAGTACTTATATTCTGAGAGAAAAAAGCAAGAGATGAGAGAGCAAGTGTGTGTGTGTGTGTGTGTGTGTGTGTGTGTGTGTGTGTGTGTGTGTGACGTGACTTGGTGAATCCGCCTGTGTATGTTTACTTTTTGAATTGTAGTTCCAAACTACATATATTACTGTCTCCTGGTGCTTCAGATAAATTCTTGAGCCTGTGGCCCTTCAGTTTATACTACTGTGTTAAACTCATGTTGAGTGTAAATATTGATATATTCGTAGTTTATAGTAAGTTTTACTTGGTGTTTGCATTTCTTTTCTGGAGTGGGATTAAGAACAATGTTTACCGCCTAGTAGTTGGTGTGCTATAAAGATTTGGCCTAAGAAATTTCTAAATTCAATGTTTATTTCATTAATTCATTATTTTTTTGCTGTGAGGAGTTGATAGCTAGCAGTAGGCATTTTTCAAACTGTAACAACCAAAAAAGAACATTTGGGGGTGTTGGACGGTATGTTGTTTGTATTGAAGGGTTTTGTTATATTGCACTACCACTTTAATGATGGCACTTTCTTCAGTGGTGCTTTAGAAGTGCCTTTTTTATCATTTCTAAGTGGGGAGGGGGTTCCCAAGGCAATGTGCAGGAAATACATTCTTTATATTGACATGGTAAAGATAAAGCAGTCTTCACTGTGGCACCTCAGTTACTCATGGCAGTAAGTGAGGCCTTTAGAGAAATGTTAGGTGCCTCGGTCCCCTGGGGTTCCATTTGGTTCCTACTTCAATGTTCCAAACCAGGGATCCCAAAAAGTTTCCCAAGGGGCACCTAAAACCACCACTGCTGTATTACCTTCCAGATGTGGCTTTCTTTATTCAAGAGGAGGCCTCCCGTGGTCAGATGAAGACTTTTGATGATCTGGGGAAAGAATGAGGTGGCACTTTCATTGCATCGATTTCAAAAGTGCTGGGATCCCCTTAAAAAGCACCCGATGGAAGGGAAGGGGGAGGCTACCCTTCAGTGGCTGCCCCTCGGGCCTGTGAGCTTTGTGGGGGTCGGTGAGAGAGGAGACTCTGGTACAGAAAAGACTGCCCTGGATTTAATCAACAAATGTTTATTGCGTGCCTACTAAGAATTCTGCTTGGATTTCTGGGGGGAACTTAACAGTGAGGCAGATGTAATACTGCCATCCCTTTAGACTATAAAATTCTTGTGGGCAGGGGTCCTGCCTTAGTCATCCGCTAATCTCAGCGCTTAGCTCACAGTAAGCAGTCAATAAATGCTTGACCAATGAATATAGTATGCTTGTGATCAAAGTGATGTTCTTCACAGGACTGAAAAGTACTCTCTGAGAGTGACTTATTTTGCTGGATTTTAAATGAGAAACTTTGTACACAAATAGGCTGGCCTCATGATCTAGAGTGGGAAACTAGCACAGAATTAAAAATGCAAAGTGCCTGAATAGGTGACATACGACTGTGGTGTCCATATGTCCTATAGGGTTTTTGAGACCCTGTGTTTAGCACACCTACTAACGTTGATCACATTTCCTGTTGGGTTTTATTTATTGCTTTCTATGTGGAGCTCAAAATCTTTTCCAGAACGTACTGCTTTGATCCTCACATGTCTGTGATGGTGCAGCGCTCTCCACTGGACAGACGGCTGTCTTTGAAGCCCGGTGGATGCAGCTTCCTTCCCCACTGCAGATGTGAATGGAAACCAAAAGCCGAACTCAGGCCTTTGGATTATCACTTCACCGTTCAGCCTATCAGACTAGCACTTCATTTCCTGGGCATACAATGAGTTTTATAATCATATAATAATCATTTGTGGTATAGCTTAAACCCCCAAACATAGTGTTTTGCAAGTTGCACAGACATAAGCAGAAAGATCTTTGGTTTTCTTTGTCAGTTAACTATAGGAAATTTCAGAATTTACTAGAGTTGTAAGAACAGAAGTAATAAGTATTTGTGTTTGAAAGAGAAGCTGTTTTTACTTTAAAGGGCTAAAGCTTCATTTCTCCTTTTCTTGCCACACGTCATTGGTAGGGGAAAAAAACTGTGTCTTAGAATGTTGAGGAAAGTATTTTGCTAGCTTTTTAATAATCCCTGGAGTATTCTTTATACCTGGTTCAGAAATTATAGGAATTTATGATATAAAGGTGAGGAATGAACCCCTTGCCCAGATATTTGAGAAAAACATGAACTTAGGTTAAGAGCTTGTCCTGCCTGCTGGCAGTGAAGTCTCAATAGTATTGAACTGTAGACTTTTTCTAATTTGTTGTTGTTTTAAGCCAGCTGATAACTTTTTAAATTGTTTGTATTTTTCAGAAGGAAGTCTGTTGTTATTTTCATTTTAAACATATCAACTTTGTCTCATTGCGAAAGTTCCATTTGTGTAGTATCTGAGGGACTCGGTTATGACTTCATTCTGTGGTCTGATATATACAGTTGAGGAAAGCTTTTCTTTTTTAATTCTATCATTGAAGTTCTCTAAGTGATTGAATTTTTAAACTCCTTCCCTCTCAAATATCTAATAACAAAATCTTAGATAAGTCAGATATCTACAACAACATTGCATAATTATCTAGTGAGAAATGTCTGTTGCCTTCTCTTTTTTATTTTGTAGAAAAAAACTAATCTTTAAATTGCTACTCAGCTGAAATTGGGGTTAATTATATTTTTTGATATTAATGTCCTCGTGGCCCAACAAAGTTGTTGTAAATTCTTAAATCACTGTGATGTGAATTAAGCAAGTTACGAGGAGGAGGAGGGTGGCAGCTTGCAGAATCTGGCACATACTTTATAAGATGAAATGGGAGAAAATGAGCCAGTTAATAGGACCCGTGTAAATAAATAGCCACCTCAAGTTATTCAGACCCTAATTCCATGTAGGTTCATCTTGCTTTCTTGTTGGTGAATCATATTTATTAGAGCTTGCTTTTTAGCATTTCAGTACAAATCATAGATTTTTAAGTACCTTATTCTTATTGTGCTTATTCATCAATTATAAATAAATTGTACCCTTAGAACCTTGGGCTATATTTTTTCAAGTTAAACCAGTGAACTTAGTTTAAATAGGGCTATACGTAGCTTGCTTTATCATGTTTCCTGTTTAATTGGATGAGAATTACATGCACTTATTCCCTTGTTCTTTGTGTTTATAGGAAAAACTCTGTTCTCAGCTACCTCATTATGTAGTGTTGTGCTTGATCCCCTGCCAATTTAGAAGAATTCAACACATTCTGTCCTTTAACAAAAGCCTGGAAGCAAGCAGTAAGCGGCCTTGAGGAATACAATTCTCTAAGGCATATTTTCCTTTTTTTTTTTAAATAGGCACTTTTAATCAGGAGGAACAATAATTCTCCTAGAGCTGCTGCAAAGTGATTACTTGAAACTCAACTTGAACTTTAAAGAGTCTTTAAAAGACTGTGTTTTCATAACGTAGAAAAGTAGTATATTTAAACACCACTGCTGTGTAAAAAACAGAGAGCGTAATTTCTACCCTTGTTAGGATCAGACAGGAAATTTGTTTATCTGTAGTTTGACCCAGTGTTTGGAATTTAGATGCTTGGGGTTACTATTTTTCATTTTCTGTAAGGTGCAATCATGAGCAGTTTAAGGATTTATTAAGTGTATTTTCATGAATTTGTTGCCCAAGAATCTTTCATTTTGATGAAAATATAGGCTCGTTACTTGATTCTTCCTCTCTTTTCGTTCTGATGACTTGGGATTTTAAAGTGAAACCCTGGATATGTTTCCTAAGTGCAAGGCTGAGGTTGGCTGAACAACCTAGAATTGCATTATACTTAAAATAGTGAGTAATCAAGTTTGTTCTGTGTGTCAGTAGAATGCTCCACCTGCCTCACTTCCGGTGTGTGCCTTTTCCCCACATGGCACATGTTGGGCTCTGCTTCCCCAGCTTACCTGGCCTCTAAGTTGGGGGAGCTGTGAGGCCCATCAGTTCTTATAGACAGATCTTTCCTTCCAGGAGTGATTTCTTGCAGGAATTACCCACTATCCCTCGTACCCAGAAGAGTTAATGCCCATTCCTAAAAACCTAGCCTATTAGGAACAACTTACGTACCAGGTAAAATCTAACAACTTAACCACCTTTATGCATTAATAAGATTTATTTTTCCTACTTGTGCTTTTTAGAGGGCTTTTGCAAGGGCTTGCTCCTGACAGTAGAATGGTAACGTTTCTCCTCGGATGGCAGCAGGTCAGCACCATGTGGATTTGGCAGCAGGCCCTGAGACATTTCCTTAAGTTGGTTTCCAAGAGAACCCAGGCCTACCCCTTTAAGACCCCAAACTGTATGTTAATTATTTTGAGGAAAACATCTGTAAACATTTGATGTACTTCCCGAGCGAACCTAGTGGTTACGAACATGTGTGAACCTGTGCCAGGCGCATGTGGGTGTGAAGACTTCCACCGCTGACGGCTCTGTGACCTTTGGAAGCCTTTGAACCCTGAAGCTCGATTTCCTACTCTGTGAAAGTGGGGTAACCAACGCTTACCTCTCAGTGCTGCTGTGAGGTTTCAGTGAAGTGATAAAGGTGAGAACTTGGGCTGGCTGGCACCTGCACACAGATGGTAGTGGTGCTTATGACCATGGCTGTTAATTGCCACTCGTCTCAACCTCTAGTCACTGGATATGTCAGCTGTGGGAAGGGCTAGGGGCTGCCCCGCGCTGAATATCCCAGGCCTTAGTGCTTGCTTCATTCTCATGTCTGCTGCCACATGATAGACAAGGAGATGTATATATGTGTAAATAAGATTATTTACTTTCTGGACCCATGCCACCACTCTCCTTCTACTTCCCTGATATTTAAATTTGATTCTGGATAGATGAAACATCCCAAAATATGTCTTTAGAATATTTAGAGTTGTTACAAATAACCCTCAGTTCAGAATTTGCCTAATGAAGTCCTCTACTAGTACTTAAAACTCTTTACCAAAGTTAAATTTCTCTTTTTTCCCTAAATTATCAAAAGTAGTAGACCATACTGGTCAAATAAACAGGATATTTTCTAGATCCCTGTTTGAGATCAGTAGACCTAAACTATGCTTTCTTAACTTGGATGCGATGTGATGTGATGTGAAACTTAAAAACAAGCAAACAAACAAAATTTGTTACCAGTACGTGTGTGTGTGTGTGTGTGTGTATAGAACTTTTGTACCTTCAAATAAAGAAGGGTTATTTAACAAAGTGATACAAAAGTGAGCTACTTAATTTTTTTATGATATCACTTTCTTTCCAGTTCAGGTTATGGGACTGGTAGATTTATTATTGGTATATGACGTGCCCAGCTTATCTTGATTTCAGTAAGACATTTGATAAAGTCATTCTTGATATCTTTGTGAATGAGAAAAGGAAGTAGAAATAGGGTTGAAAGGGCTGAGAAACAAATTGAATAGCCACAGGGCTGGCCGAGTGGCTCAGTTGGTTAAGAGCTCACTCAAGAATGCGAGCTCTGAGCAACAGGGTCACCGGTTCGATTCTCTGCCCGAGCTGAGCTGCCACTGAGCTGCCAACAGGTGGCAGGATGGCTCAACTAAAAACAAAACAAAAACTGAATAGCCGCACGCAGACAGTGTTGATAAGAATGGATCCTTGTCAGCATGGACTGAGGTACTCTAACAGTGTACGATTTTAACATTTTTATTAGTCACTTGTATACAAAAAATAAAAGGCAGAGAAAAGTGCTTGGAGGGATTAAGTGTTGGGTGTCAGGGTCTGCAGTGCTCTTTACAGTCTAAATATAAAGTCCCTGTCTAGGTTCAGAAAAGATAGTTCCTATAACTGAAACAGAAAAAGGGGGCAGGGAATCATTGATAATTAGAACATAAGCCAACTGTTTAAAAAAAATAATAATAACAGCACGTGTCTGTGTGGAGGGGCTGCTAGCTAGAAAAGGAAGTCTGTGCTGCTACTTCATCCATACATGTGCTATATTGCTAGGCCCCTGGAACCACTGCATTTAGCTGCCAGCTCCAGGCACCACAGTTTGAGAGACCTGTGCAAGTCTGGAGGCCACCCAAAGGATGACCGCTAGAGTGACAGGCACTCTGGAAGCTGTAACAAGAGCCTCTGACCGCCTGAGGCTCTGGCCTGTAGGGAAGTCTTTAGAATGAGCACAGGGGCTTACTCCAGAGTGCCTAGCTCAGGCCAACAGGCAGAAACTATAGAGACAGAATTGTTTTGTCTGTTTTAGAACTTTCAGATAGAATTGCCTCGTGATAAAGTGGATGCCTTCTGTGGTCCTGAGCGCTCATCTCTAAAAGTCTCCCAAGGGGGTGACTCCTTACAGCTCCGACGAGGCCAGTGAGAGAATTCTTGCATTGTGGGAGGATGTTGGGTAGGATCTCCAAAGCTCTTTGCAAACAAGAGGTTCTGTGACCAGTTTAATAAAAAAGAAAAAAATATACGATTCCGTACTTGAACTTTTACAGTGTTTTTGAGGAGGAAAAGTCTTTGTTCCTTTTAACCTATATTCTGTTCTTTCCTCCCCTCCTTTGCTCTCTGCCCAGCACAGTTCGCGGTCTCTTGATTGCGGCGAACAGCTACAACCATCTTCAGCAGAACTTTCAGAAGATATTTCTAGAAATTTCCCCAAAACCCACATTGTCAGCTAGCACAGTGATTCTTACTTTTAATATACTTTTTGTTTTAAATCTCTTAGTACCTCTGCAGATGTAAGGAAGCTGATGAGTAAAAGTTCTGTTCTGTCCTTTGAGAAGAATTTCTAAAGGACTTGACTCCTCATGGCTTATCTCTCCCTCTTCTGTGGAGACACACTGCAGTCTGCTCTCAGTTAAGGAGGGAAAGGGGGGCACCACCCCTGTGTGTTTCTTCCTGACCCCACCTGCCTTATGAAAGATCTGCCCCGAAATAGGAAACACGTAAGCTGGACCCACACCCCAGTCCTTGGTGGGGGGAGCCGTCTGTTTTTCTTGTGTGTGTGTGTGTGTGTGTGTGTGTGTGTGTGTGTGTGTTTTCTCCCCGTTTCCTATGTCATCTTTACTTACTAATAACCTTTTGTTTAAGCCAGTCTTGTTTTTCCTCCCTATGTCCTATCGTGACTACTCAAAGATACTGCTAAGTGGTATGTCTCTGAGCACATGGGCTCTTCCCACAGTTGGCACTTCTTTCGTGCCAGTTTAGGGACTTTAAAGTGGAAGAGGTTATTT